GGGAATCAAACATGGGACTGACACAGACCCCTGAACATGGGTGTCAGCTAAAAGGCCTGTGCAGTCTAAGGGTCTTCAGAGAGAGGGACCAGGAAGTATCCCTGTTGCAAAAAGGACATTGGGGGAAAATCCCTATGGAGGGATACTCCATTAACCCTGAGACAGGAGAGACATTTTAGTGTCTACTTAAAATGACTTGAAGGATTTAGATGACCCCTCCTGGAAGGCATCCACCTACGTGTATAGTGTTGGTTGGATGGGAGGAGAGAGTGGCTGGGGGCCTGGGAAGTTGGGACGGGAAGGAGGGTGGGAGTAAGTTGGAGGGAACTGGTTTGATAAGTATAATAAAAAAAATTACAAATTAAAAACATTAAAAAGATACCAATGTAATTTTCAAAAAAATAAAGTTAATATTTTAATAATTGAAAATTTTTACCTCTATTGACTTTGAAATATCACACCTCCACAGAGAGAACATCACTTCCAGCACAAGTTCTAATAGATCTTAATAATAAAAACTCACAGTAATCTGACAGGGAGGGGAAGGTGAAAATTGAAGGATCACAGATTCAGAGTATCTGGCTACTAGAGTTGTTATCTCTACCTATTCTCAGACAAGCGATGTGTTCCTGTCCTCACACTGCCTACTCAGATTGACTGCTATCGCTTCAATCCCTCAGACTAACTTCTCAAACAAAATCATCTCACAGCATGCTCTACTCGCTCCTCTACCTTATCTTCCTCTCTCTGTCCAGCCATGTCACTCCTATCTCCAAATCCCTGCTGCTGGGAATAAAGGCCTGATTCCCATGTCCTGGGACCACCTTAGTGTGAGCTGTTTTTCTTTTAGACAGACTTAGTATGTGTCTAACTAGTGACATAGTGTGTGTGTCTAACTACTGATTTAATGTGTGTGGATAACTAGTGACCTAGTGTTGGTAGCTAACTAGTAACTTAGGTGTGTAGTTGACTAAATACATAGAAATACATAGGTGCATGGCTAACTACTATCTCAGTGTGTGTGTGGCTGACTATTTTCTTGGTGTTTGTGACTAGCTAGTAAATTAGATGTGTGGCTGACTACTGACTTAGTATGGGTGGGTAAGTAGTGATATATTGTGTGTAACTAACTAGAGACATAGAGACTGTGGCTAACTAGTAACCTAGCTTTGTGGCTAACTAGTGACTTAGTCAATGTGGTTAATTACTGCTTAGGGATGTAGCTAAATATTAACTTAGGTGTATGATTAACTACTGTCTTAGTGTGTGGGGCTAAGTACTGCTTTATTGTGTGATGGACTTGTGGCTTAGTTTTTGTGGCTAACTAGTGACATAGGTGTGGGGCTGACTATTGATTTAGGTGTTTGTCTAACTAGTGACTTCATATGTGTCGCTAAATAGTGAGTTAAGTATGTGGCTAACAAGTGGCATGGTGTGTGTGGGTACTAGTGAGATAGTATGTATGGCTAACTAGTGGGTTACTTTGTCTCTAACTAGTGGCTTACACTTAACTACATGTGTAGCTAAATAGTGACTCCACTTAGTAATCTGATTGTTAGGAACTAGCAGCCATTTGACCCCCCCCACCCTGAAGATGGGCGGGACCCTCATGGCCATGTCATTGCTACATCAGCTTTACCTGACGGCTCAAGGTTTACCTGGCAGCCAGAGGACTCAGTTACACATGTGCAAGCCTCCCCTTTTAAAGCAAGTGCCCCACACCCCCCTCTTTCTCTCGTGCTTTCAGTTGGCCACCAGCTACCCCTTCTTTCTCTCCCTTCTCTCAACAATCTCCACGTGGGCGCTGAGTCTCGCGTTTGTGTTTCTTAGGCATTAGCTGTACAGCAAAAGAACAACATTGGTGCCGAAACCCAGGCAGGCTCTACATGAGGGTCACTGACAGCTGTCTGCTGGTGGGCGGCCAGCCAGAAACACTCAGGATCTTGTTTCAGATACCAGCGTTCCACCACCATCCCCCCCCCCCCCGTTCACTGGAAATACCATCCCACAAAGGCTTCAATTAGGTAAGGTACCCTTTTACATTTTAACCCAATTCCTTAAGGTCAGGTACATTCCATGGGTGGAAGACATACTGCCCAGTGTGGTATATCGGCTCTGCTCTCAGACTGCTGAGTATTTCCGGCCTCTGTTGGTCCTGGCAACGTTTTCGGGCTAACGAGCTTCGAATAACACTCTGCCATTCTCTCGAATCATGTGGCCACACTCTTGGGCTGATGAGTTCCAAGACTGCATGGTCACTTTCACTCCACCCATGGGGAATAAACCGACCAAGGAAATATCCCCCACCACTCCACTGGGATGCCTGATAGAAAATTTAAAACCCTTTCACTTAATGCCACTTGTAAAGTCACCCAGACTTATTTACCTTTGTACTGAAAAGTAGCCTAGATATCCCCTAGAAAATAATTCAAATTGGCCACGTAACGGCTCTCTAGATCCCGATATTTTATGGGATCTTTCAAATTACTGCCAGGGAACAGATAGATGGAAGGCGTTTTTTTTTAATATCTCTGCTAAACAATCTCTTTCCCTAAACTTGTTTCGGTTCTCTTCCTGGCACGCTCAAATTCTCCTGCCTGCCCCAGCTGCAACCTGTCTCAGCATGGTGGGCTGGGCTGAGGCAGCATCTGCTCAAGACAAAATTACATCTCAAAACTTTACGATTTCTTTCAGCTGTTGGGAATATGTTTATGGCAGCCACCATCTTGACCATGTGGCCTAGCTTTACCCACCATGGTTCTTCTTTCTGCTACATCAGCCATCTAGGCAGAAAGAGTCTAGCCAGCTTCTGCCACCAACAGAACCTGTAAGTCATTTACCGTTTGCCTTTTATTCTTTGTAATATCTTTTTTCTCTGACTATGTTATACATAGCTTCACACTCTTGTCCTTCTCAATTTACCCAGTCCTGAATAATATATCTGTACATTCGATTTCAACTTAACTTTATGTAAATGTAAGCTAACTTCATACAACTTAAATTCAACTGTTCTAAGTCTCAAATATTTCTAAATTATTATGTGCCTTTAAATGGTGGAATTTCAGGACTGAAAAACAGGACGCAGCACCACAGGAAGCTGGGAAATGGAGTCCTGGAGCCTCAGAGACCAGAAGAAGTTTAGGAACTGAAAAGATCAAAACAAGCCCAGCACATGCCGGGAACTGTAGTTAGGGGCCTTGAAGTCCAGGGGAGAAAAGAAAGAAGCAGCCACACAGCATGCTGGGAAGTGCAGTTCTGGACCCCAAATTTTTTAACCGGAAGTCCATTCATAGAAAAGCGGACACAAATCATGCTGGGAAATATAGTCCTTGGCTGCCAAAGATGAAAATAAGAAGTCCCTGGGCAGGGAAGCAGGAAGTGGCCACAGAGAATGCTGGGAAATGGAGTCCTGGGCCTCCAAAAACTACAAACTGGAAGTTTCATTGCTGAAAAACAGAAAGCCACCGCAGAGCATGTTGGGAACTACAGTCCCTGGCCAGTACAGATAAAAACCGGAAATCCCTGGGCATAAAGGCAGGAATCGACCGCACAGGATGCTAGGAAATGCAGTCCTGGACATGAACATCCAAACCCAGAAGTCTCTGGGCAGCGAAGCAGTAAGCGGCCGCATAGGATGCTGGGAAATGCAGTCCCATCCACAGCAGTTACAAAAGTTCCTGATGGCCTTGGCTCAAGTCAGCCTTGGCTGCGATCTGCGAGCAGAAGTCATGCCCCACCCTTGATGATTGACCTGAGTCTCTACTGCCAGGTTTCCCTTGCCAGGAAATCCAGCCCTCGGCTTGCAGCCTGCCCCTCTACCTTTATAAAGATAGCTGACATGTCCCCGCCCAGTCAGCCTGTAGATCACACCCTCAGCAGACCTCATGGCCCAGAGGCAGGAAGTGGGGTCTGTAGTGATTGACAGCTGGAGGGGCAGGGTATGCGGTGACTGACATTACAAGGGCCTGGAGGGGTGAGCTCTGTGATGTCACAGGAGCCACACTCATCATCCTCAGGGTTTTTACTCTCATAACCAGCTCACCATGGCCACCGCCCTCTGGGTCCTAGCATTGCTGCTTGGTAACCTAAGAGTTTGGTAGGAGACTCCTGCCATGCCCAGCTGGGGGTGGAGATGGTGAGGGTAGGGAAGGAGGGCAATTCCTGCTCACAGTCACAATTTCCTGTGATGTCACTGCCAGGACCAAGTCCTGTCTGCACCATAGGTAATACCCAGACCCCGGCCCTGCCCTCGGGGACCCTAGGAGAGAAAGTGGGGAAGGGCCTGGTGTGGTTGAGGGCAGGGCCTGGAGAGGGTCACTGATTGTGACCTTGGACACTGTGACCTCGGGGTAGGGGACAGGTGAGCTAGGGTAGTGCTGAAGGGGTGGGGCCTGATGCTGAGCAGTAAAAACCTGCCACCATTTAAATATGCAAATGAGGATACTAAACTGTTATGTAAAGGATGCACTAGTAATTTTGATTATGCAAATAAGCACAGTGCCTGGAAATCTGGAAGTCTGATTGGGGCTTCACATTTGAGTATGTAAATGAGCAAACCCCAGTTTCGGAAATACACTTTAATATGCAAATTTGTGCTGCTTTGCATGCTTTTGCTATGCAAATGAATGCAAGTATTCCCATCTGTTTGGGACTTTGACCTGCAAATACATGCAGGTTAGGTCATTTGGAGGTGTGGCCATGCAAATTAACCCCAGCAGTTTCTGTACTTGATGTCTTCTGAGTCTCCAGGCAGCTCTTAAATATGCAAATCAGAGTGCGGGCAGGGGGTGGGGCCTCCTCTGACCCTGCTCCTGATGTCAAATGTCCATCACAGGCATCTGATGGTGAAGCTGCTCATGCAGGACCCAGTGAGGGCAAGGGCAGGGCCCATGGAGATGGTGAGGGCGGGACATCAGGAGGGGCGGGGCCACAGGGGCGGGTTTAGGTGTACTCCCCTCGGTGGGCCAGTCCCCTAACCCTGCCTCCACACACCTCACCCCATGTCCTGTGTCCTAGCACTGGGAAGTGATGCACTTGAGGGAAGCTTGCTCTGTCAATCAAACACAATGCACCAAGGGCATCATGGGAAATGGGTCACTGCTTCACAAACTCACCAGAAGTCCCGCCCCTTCAGTAACTCTCTCACCAGAATACCCGCCCGGACAGTCACTCACATACTCATTCTCCATCTACAATCCTCATTATTGGGGTGTGGCCGGATGCTGGCTGACAGGGACGTGTGGTCCCACATCCGGGAAGATGGCAGCCAGCTCACGCATGCAGCGGTTGAGTGGAAACCCCACAGTATTGAAGAAATCCCCTTCCACGCGCTCTGCTAGGGCACCGCCTCGCGCCTGAAGCCCATAGGCGCCAGCCTTGTCCCTGGGTGCAAGGCAGGGACGAAGTCACACCAGGTGCCATGCTCAGCCACACCCACGCCCGCCGGGGACAACTCTTCCTTTTCAGGCCTCACTTCCAGGTTTCCTGGCCCCACCCACCCCACCCCGCACCCACTCACAGAGGCTCCCTGCTCTCCACGTATTGGCAGAGCAGTGGCTCCGATAGCCGCGAGAATGTCACACGGGTCTCTTCGTGGAACAGTGACAATTCCACTTCTGCTTCTGGGTCCCCTTCCGCCTCTGGGGCCTCTGGGCATGTGGAACTCGGCTCCTGAAGCTGCCTCTGCCACAGTGGCCTCAAGATGGCCACACCGGTGATGACACTGTGCTGCTGGCCACTCAGCCTGGGCGGGGCCAGGGAAGGCGGGACAGGGCGTGGTTGGCAAGGGGCAGGGCTGGGGTGGGCAGAGGCTGGAGCTCCATGAAGAGGCCCCGCCCACTATGCCTTGGGGGGTCTACCCCGCCCCTTAAGGCCCCGCCCACCTGCGCAGCATCCTGTAGGCATCGTCCTTGTCCTTTGGCTTCTCCAGGATGAAGCCATCCATGGCCTACAGTGGGCGGGGCCAGACGCCAAGGGGCCGGGTCAGTGAGGGGCAGGGCCTCACTCACCAGGACGGTATAGGCTCCAATAATGACATCAGGCGGGTGCAGGTCCTAAAGGGCAGAGGGCGGGGCAGGCTTATGGGCGGGGCCTCGAAAGGAAGGCGTGTGGCCTACCACCTGACCAGAAGGGATGGGGGTCGTCCTCACCCTGTGCAGCCACGATGCCACCTCCAGCACCTTCAGCTTCGCTGTCTCCTGGGCATATTCGGGCGGAGCCGGAAACCCCGCCTTCTCCAGGGACTCCTGGAAGTGGGAGGGTAGGACCTCGAACTGAGTGGTTGAGTGAATGACTGAATGAATGAGTGAATGAATGACTGAATGAATGAGTGAATGAATGACTGAATGAATGAATGACGGGTATTTGATTGACAGCTGTGTCCCCTATAGTTCACGCCTGTAACTCCTCTGACATCACCGCTCCCGTGACCCCGCCCATCCCCTGGGAACCTCTCTAAGTGATTAATTCCTGGTCAATGCTCCCACGCAGAAGTCCCGCCCCGCTTTACCATGTTGCCGGAAGTCCCACCCCGGTTTCCCCGGCAACAGGAACCCTGCTGCCAACCGTGGCATAAACAGGGAAACAGCGAAAACCAGAGGGGTGCACGGACCTAGGGTTGTGATCTCTGTTTCTGCCCTGTTCGCCGCACCCGGAAGTCCCACCTACCGCCTCGATGAGTGACAGGGAATATGCTCTCTGCTGCCTCTTGTGCCGTTTCTGACCTGTTCACTTGGACCTGGAAGTCCAGTCCCTTAAGGCGTTTCCTATCGGGCCCGCAATGTCCGATGCGATCAATTTCCATCCTGGGCCTAAAGCGGATCCAATTTAATCGTCGCCCGGTGGGCAGGGAATCGCACGCTGCACCATCCGTAAGCGGAAGTAATGTGCCGGAAGCGGAACTCAGGCTGCAGCGCACTCCGTCGTGTTTACTTCATGGGTGGAACTCAAGTTGTGCATCTCTTCGTTGCAACCTTTCCTGGGGACCATTTTGTGTGACAGGCCGGAAGCTCAAGTCAGTGACTGGAAGCCTGACGTCCTTGGTTCACAAGCGGAAATCGTGTGTCAGTTTGGCCGGGTGGAACTAGAAGCTTGTTTTCCTTTTGTGTCTTCCGGGGACACTGACAGCCACGAACCAGAAGCTTTAGTTCGTGACCGGAAGGCGGAAGTCCTGAGATCGCAGCCGCTTGTGAGCGGTGCAGGGGACAGTCCCGGAACCGTGTGTTTGAGAAGGAGTTCCTGGGGACAGAGTTGTGAGAGGTGCTCAATGTCTGTAACTCTGTTCCAGTCACTCTAGGAGGTCTCTCCCCCGGCAGAGCCTCAGTAATGACGGATAAACATCAGGCAGGCGGGACGGGGGATAGATGGGTCCAGTATTTTCAAAGCAGGTCCAAGAAATTTTCAGGAGGTGGAGGTGTTTTTTTGACCCGCTCTCTGTCCCAGTGCTCAACCAGACCAGTGGAACAGTGGGTGCAGTAGGACACAGGGTGGGGAAAGTGCGGGTTCTGGGTGGGGTGCTTTGTAGATCAGAGTACTAGAACTTTACTCTCTAGAGATAAGATATAGGGCGTGAAAGACAAAAAAGTAAAGTTAGAGAAATGCCCCATTTTAAATGAAGGACAGACTAAACTGGAAAGTTAACCCCTAGCAATATCTGTTCCTTGGAATCTGCTAACTTACCCTCACAAGGCCCTGAGAAAACAAGATACCCAGAATTCAGACTGTCCGTCCTTTCTTGTGAGTCAGCAGGTGTTGAATAGGGTCTTTAAGAAACAAATAGATAACTGCACCTCCGGTTTGCCCAGACAAGATTAATTAGCACACCCTGAGGCCCTAAGGTCTGTTGACCCTAATAGGGAGACCAGCTAAAAGGGTCATGTACTCAATGGACAGAGGGTCCCACCCCCTCCCTAAGCATGGGGTATTTGCCTTTAAAAACACCTGTGCCGGGGGAGGGGTGGAGGGAGGAGATGGCTTCTTCTCACTAGTCTGCATGCTGGAGGGGCCCCTTTGCACAAATGTTTCCTGTTCATTAAAGCCTCTTGCATGTTGCAGCAACTGGACTGGACATTGAGTTCTTGGGGATACCGATGGAAACTGGGAGACTCCTCATTCTGAGGGTCTTACAAAGCTTGAATTCTTGAATAATGCAGATTGTTTAAAACTGCTCACTGAGTAAGATGTGCTGGCTAACAGTAGTGGTCATACACAAAAATCTTCCTAGCTCCATTCCTCTCTAAATTTTCAACTTTCCATGAAGAATACTCTTTTTATAATTTTGTGTTTGTTAAGTGGTTTTTCTGAGGTTCAGGAATAAAACTCCTACAGTTATAGAGCAATGATCAAGCTTTCTGATGAGAGAAAGACAAATTATCAACTTTTTGATCTGCTTCCTGCTTTTATTTCCTTACAGTTGGAAGTTCCTGTACAACCAGGCCAATAACACCTCATGCTACAGAGTGGGTGATGTGCCCCCATGGGTACCAAAACTCGATGACCATGTCAGGAGTGGCTTCGTCTTGACAGAAACAAACACACTGGAGGTGTTTTGCAACTGCTGCCATTTTTACTTTAGAGTATTGGGTTTTTATACAGAAATTACAAGGAACATATCTTTGGTCACAATTTACAGACATATTATAAAATGCCAGTAATTCCTTTGAAGCATGAGATAAAAAAAAAAAAAAAAAAAAAAAAAAAAAAACACTTATTTTCACCTGCCTGTGGTCAGTGTACCAGAGATTTGGTTTACTGAGTTAGAGAAAAGTCATTGTCTCTTAGCAGTAAACTGTTAAAAGCATTGATAAGAACTCTTGCATTGCTTTACTAAGTTTAGAGGATAGTCATAAACTTTTAACAGTATTTTTCTGTCTTTTTTATTATTTATTTTTTATAACCAAGTCCATTTAAATGAAAACAAACATCTATAGACAATATTTGGGAATTTGGGCGTCGTTCTTTCCAAACCACTTCCTGCTGGTAAGGGGCGCTCTCATGGGGGATTCTAAGAAGATGCTGAAATCCTGGCTGTATTCTGCAAGGCTGCTTTTTCCAGCTGTTTTGAATGTAGGCTCACTTGGTACTCTGTTTCAGGTGGTCTGGCTTGATCAAACCACATTAGTATGGAAGAAATCCACAGCTTTTCGTTTTCTGTGGAAAAAAAAATAGAATAGATATCCTTTTCCCCAGTAACTTGTCCTTGAACTTAATGTTTTGAGTCAAAGCATATTTTTTTTTTTGTAATTTATTATTATACATGTCGATCCCAGTTCCCTCTCCCTTCCTTCCTCCTTCCCTCCCTCCCTCCGAATCTTAAGGTTTCTGTGCAGTGACATCTAATGAAATCTCGATCTCCAACTTGGAAGTAATGTGAAACTTCCACGACTCCCACCACGTAGGTCTCTCAGGGCTGCTTTCTTGCTCACTGTCTCACCCACTGGAGCACCTTAAGCCTAGCAAACAGAGGCTTAAGAAAACAGCACATCAGCACTATGTACAGAGGTAATTTCCACCAGTGGAGGGAGCCCACCAAAGAGCCATTTACAGGGGCTCAGCCCAAACGGTCCAGGGGTGTTTTTAAACCTGAAAAGCACAAAGGGTAGGAGAGCTATCTGATCATTAACGCCAGTCTCCACAGTCAATTTAGTGAAGGTCTCCTCAATGGTTTTATTTATACTTTCTACATGAATTGTTGGTTTTGTATGCACAATGTAATTTTAATCAATCCCCAGTATCTTGGCCAGTGATTTACTTACCTGGGTCACAAAACCTGGACGATTGTCTGATTTTACTACCTTAGGTATTTTGAATCTTCAGAAAATTTTCTTCAGTAATTTTTTTTTAACCACATGGTTGAGACAGTCCCATGCACATGAACAGTTGAAAAAGCATACCTGTTGCCTGTTAATGTTTATGGACTTCTCTTCGTCGAGCAGTACCACTGCCCCAGTCCTTTCTTTACCTTTTATAATGTAACTGATCCTGGCAGTGAACTGGTCATCATCTCCCCAGCCAGCAGGATGTCGTTAAGATCTTTGCAAACTCCAGTCTCTTTAACCAACAGTTGATGGCAGTCATGAGTCCCTGGTTCACCAGTCTCCACAGGCAGAAGAGTGGTGGGATGAGGCTGGCTGGTGGAGCGAACACAATCAGCTCAGTCTCTCAGTGAGAAGCAGGCTTTGGTGGTGGGTCCCGCGGGCGTTGGTCATCATCAGTTGGTGGCTGCCAGACAATGCTCTCCAATGCATGGGGGCTATTATTGTTGCTTTATGCCCCAAAGTCAACTTGTCAGCAGTGATATCTTTTTGATAGACAGGCCCTCCCCTTGCTACAGGATCAAGCTTCTTTGACAGATAAGCAACTGGTCTGTCCCACGGCCCTAGGGATTTGGTTAAAACTCCCCAGGCGACCCCCTTATGCTCATCCACATAAAGGGTAAAAGGTTAGTTATATCAAAAGGCTTAGAGCCAATGCTTTCAGCTGGGCCTTTTTATTGGCATCAAATGCCTCCTGGTGCTCTGGGGTCCAGGAGAATTTTTTCCTTAGTCAGCCTGCAAAACCCAGATGTCCCCAGAAATTCTCCTACTTGTCTGGCCATCGTTGGGGAATTTTAAACCCTTGGGACAGTCAGCTCCAGATGAGCTGCCTAGTTCTACACGTGTCAGGGTCCTTCCATTCAAAGGCAAAAAGCAGTTGGCTGGTGGGATGTAACCTCGAACGAGTGGGGTACCCGGCCCACGCCGAGGTCCACTGTTCTTCGGGTAGTCCATGAATTACCTTGGGCTTTGGGAGGGGTGCCAAACCCCGTTTCCCTTTAATTTTATCCGTTCTTAGGGCTAGGACCTTCGATACCTTGTCTTCTTGGGACAGTCATTTGCCAAGTGTCCTTTTTCTTTACAATATGCACACTGTTCCTCCTTGTCAAGTGGGGTCCTGTTGCCCAGGTTTCCTAGCCTGTTTTAAATTTCCTAACTTTCCTTTAACCACTGCAGCCAAGGTATTTTAGTGAAATTCTTTTCCTGTCTTCTGTCATGCTTTTTCTCTGCTCTCTGTCTCTCTACTGTCTTTTGTTTCTCTCCTTCCCTTCTCTGTCCCTTCAATACACTTTCTCTGTCTCTTAACTCTTCCAGTCTATGGAGTTCCTTCCTAATATCTGGGGCCCAATTTCCCCATGAAGACCAGAGCCACCGAAGCTCTCTGGGCTTCTGAACTAGGGTCAAAAAGTGTTTTCTTTAACTTAGCCA